ATCTTCATTTGGTTTCATCCTGAAATTTTCATAGCTATGTGTTAGAAGACTAATTTTAGATTATTTTACCTCATCGGTGCCTTCATGAATGACTTGTAGTTTATCCAATATTTCTTTGGCGGTTGTACAAGATGAAACTCTTCCATATTCATCAGGTCCAAGAGCACAAAATATAATACGGATGGCTTTGGAGTTGAGCTGGAACATTTTCGTCTCTCATACGCTCCACAATCTTGGATGAGTGAGAGGTTTGATATATCCGTCTTCTATAACATTCCATGCTCCCATGTCACTTGCTTGAATAAAATACATCATTCTATTCTTCCAATAGGCATAGTTAGCACCATTGAAGAAAAGAGGCTTGTTAACGGGCATTGAATCGAGACCGGAGTCAAAGTTTGCAGTGAAGGTCATTGATGACTTGATAATCAATGTAACTCTTCCCGAATCGACTCAAGAGGTGATTAAACCTTCAAATGAGTTAGGCTCTGATACCAATTTTTGAGTTAATCAATCAACGGAATCAACTAAGAGGGGGGTGAATTGGCAATTAAAAATTTCGGTGGAAGCTTTTGCAAAAATTTGAAAAGATTTGCACAGCGATTTAGAGTGGTTCGACTTTCTCAACCAAAGTCTACGTCCACTACCTTAGCTATCCACACTAAGGATTTTCCAACAAATTCACTAATTTGTTCTTTCTTTTGAGGCCAAAGAGATAATCTTACAACACCCTCAAGAATATACCCCAATTCTTGAGAACACTCTTTCTCAAAGAGAAGATTACAAATTTGCAAACTTACAAGGAAATCCTCACAAGGTAGATTGTTTGCACAATTCTAGAACAAAGAAAAGAACACTCAAAAATGAATACAATTGACTACAAGTAGTGTTCTTGAAAGCAAACTAAATATTGAATGAAAAATAGGCTTGAAATGCACAAACTTGAGGTTTGATGCTTTCTCTTTGATTCTCTCTTGATTCTAGTTGCTTGTTGTTTCTTGTTATTGATCAATGGCTTCTAAGCTTGTTTAAATACACCTTCAAATGATTCTAAACGTTGTGTGAAAATAATTAATTAAAGTAGTTGGGAGCGTCAGTGCATCGATGCATACCCTAGGTGCATCGGTGCATCAGTGTAAAATTCAAATATTTTTACCGTTTGACTCTCAGTGCATCGGTGCACTAAGAGTGCATCGATGCATGAAATGCATTCAATGTTTTGAAATAGCCTGAGTGCATCGATGCATGGTCTTGTGCATCGATGCATCAAATGCACTAAGTGCATCGATGCATGGTATGTGCATCGATGCATAAAATGCATTCGATGTTCAATTAATTCCATGGTGCATCGATGCATGGATTGGTGCATCAGTGCATCACTTTGAAAATTTGATTTTAAGCTTGATTTTGGTTCAAAATACTTTGTGAAAATTGTTTCGAAAATAGTTTAAGTATAAAACACAATTCTACACATTTAGTAAGGTTTGAAATGATCTTGAAAGACTTGGAGTAATAATTTGATATTCGATTAATTGAATCGAATATACTTTAGAAAATCATTTGTAAAATCTTAAAATTCATTTAAACTTAGTTTGTTATATCGAAAAATCAAAATGTTTTCAACATAAGTTTAACTATAAGAGATAGACTCATCGCAAGTCTTATCTTAATACAATTTCATATGAGATATGCACTCATCTTAGCCTTGCTTTGACTCGATTCTAATCCTTTGATTATTCCGAAACAGGATTACACTCTAAATCTACATAGTAATACATTGATACATATCAATATACTAATTGATATTTTTCAAACTATCACTTCTTACACTAAAAGAAAGGTTATTTTTCATCTCTTAATAAAGGTATGTATCGATGCACTATACAGTATATCGATGCATCCCTTAACATGTGCATCGATGCACTATCTATGCATCGGTTCACAAATCCTATTCGATGTTTGTATTTTAAGGGGGTGCATCGATGCACTCCTCATGCATCAATGCACTAATTGCATTCGATGTTCATTTATTTGAGAGTGCATCGGTACACATTGAATGTGTATCGATGCACACAGCCCATAAATGTTAGTTTGAGCACGAAAATTCCTTCATAATCCTCTCAACACTTCCTATTTCACCTCCTTTTATGTATCTAACTTGCATACACCTACTTAAACTAATTATTATCCATTCAATACCTCTAAAACTTAAAAATCCAATCCTCCATATAAAATTCAAGAATCTCACTAAAATTCCAACATGTTCTAAATCTAATTCTAACACTTCATATCCCTCAATCAAGTTGGTGACAGGTCAAATTCAACTTCCAATTCTCATTATGAACTTTATTTCAAAATTTCATTCAAGAACTCCTAACCTTTAATTTTTCCTAAACCCTTCATCTTGTTGTTTTAAAGCAAATTAAACTTTCCTTAAGCTTAATTACCATTTAATGATCAAAACCAAACTTAAATTTCAACTAACAATCAGCTTATGAGAAATCTCACCTTTGATATGAGTCTTCACGTGTGGAGAATAGAAGAGAAGAAGATGACTCTGGAAGCTTATGTGTTTCTCTCTTCACTCCACGTGGAAACATATATAACCATAACAATTAAATTATTTCCCTTGTCAATGACCATTTTGTCATTCTATTCCTTCTTCTTTTCAATTTGATCCTACACCGTATTTTTCATATAAGTCCTTAACTATTCAATTATTATACTTTAATCACCAAATTCTAAAACTTTACAATTTAGTCACTAACCTCGTATTGAGGATGTTACATGCATACTCACTTTATGTTTTCGTACTCAATACCATGTGCATTGATAAACACTTTTAGTATGATCTCATTGTTAGTGTGGCACTGCTCAACGTTCGAAATTGTGTTTCCGTTCGCAGGTCTTTAGATGGAGCATTCGAGGAATTGGTTGATCGCAGACGTTCCAAACAGTCGAGTAGTCCAAGTATGTCTTGAGTATTATTTTAGTGGTAATGTAATATTCATATACCTTCATTATCTAAGTCATAACTTACTTTGATATTCTATTGTATTGTTTTGATATACTATTTTGGGAGCTTCCCCGTATTGTAAACATATAATTATTATGTTCTTAATATATGGAACTTGGATGATTATTCAATAACATTTTATGGTTGTTTTAAAAAAGGAAACAATTTTCGGTTAGTCGTTCTAGTGGTCTCATGTGACGTTCTAATCGATCGACTGTATGTCGTATCGGATTAGGGTGTTACATTCATGTATGCACTTTCAATGGAAAAAATGAAGATCAAAATCTGTAGCAACAAAAAGAGCATGGTCTTAAGTAAGGAAACAATGAAGATCAAAATCTGCAGCAATAAATTTGTCATATAAGGACTCATAATTAGAATTTTATTTAAAATTCATGAGTTAAAATAAAAATTGACTAATTTTATTAATGTATCATGTTTACAAAATATATAAATTAATATTTTTTTTAAATAGAAAATATTTAATATAGAGAGAGGTAGAACACACAATGTAAAAAAAGTAGTTTTACATTGATTTAGTAACATTTGATGAATGAAAATAAACAGTTGAAGAAAATGTGAAGATATTCACTGGGGAAAAAACAAGATACTCTCAACTTTCTATTTCACTCATCCAACAATCATAAATCAATGTAAACCTAAAGGAAAATTTTACAACACTTGACAAGTATCGTTGAGCACCACTAACGATAAGAACCATTAATTTAATTTAATTTAATTTATAAAAATTTAAAATTCTAAAGGGCTCAACATATAATTATAAATTAGTTAAAAATTTAAAATAAATCAATTAAAATAAAATAATAATTAAATTATTTTTAATAATTTTTGGGTAAACTATAGCATTGACCACTCAATTATTTAGTCCTTTTACTTTTACCACCGACCTTTCAATTTTGTCATTCATATCATCTAATTATTTAATTGTTGTCAATCAAACCACTTGTCATTAATAGTTGACGGAAATGCTGATGTGAAAGTTCACAAAATTGGTATAATTCAACATTTAGTCCTCAATAATTATATATTCTATCAATTTTATCCTAATGTTAATTTAGTTTATTAAATTTAACCATTTAATTAGATTGTGATACGTATCATAACATGATTGGAATATTTTTTTACCTGACATGCGTTACCATCCGATTGAATATAAAACTGCTTGAAGAAAAAAGAAACAAATAAACAATAAACCAAAGCCCAAACCACCAAGCTAACCCATGTTTGTGTTATGCAATGCAACATTTGATATATAAGATATTGTAACGAATTTTAAAAAGAAAGAAATAATAATTTTAATAATTTTTTTAATAATTTCAAGTATATATTTTTAGCTCAATTTATTTTTATTTAAAGATAATATATTTTTATTAAATATATATATTAATATTATTTAAAACAAATTACTTTTATATTTTTATAACCATCGGTATTTGATCTATTGATCGACTAATTCAGATTGAGTATTACAGAGACAAGAATAACCCTTCCAACCTAGTTTGCTTCATTCGCAATCATCATGAATTCCAACTAGTTGTTAGTACAAATTACTGTTATTAAATATATATATATATATATATATATATAAATTTAAATCTTTTTAACAATAATTTATAAGATATCATAACGAATGCCAAAAAACGGAAATAATAATTTTAACATTTTTATTAATAATTTCATATATATATATATATTAATTCAATTTATTTTATAAAAATAAATTATTTTATTAAATATATATTATGTATATTTATTAGTAACTCTCTGATTGTATTCAATCTAATAATGACACGTGTCACTCCATTAATATTTTTGTAAGAACTTTTAACTAAAAAAATGTCCACGCAGCCAATTTTAGAGTGGATTAAGTGGAGTAAAAACACCATAGGATCCAAATGAAGCAACTCAAAGGATTAAGTGGAACTAAATAAAGGTTAGGGATGACGAATGCGATCGAATTTAGGCTTTTTTACACATGGTGAAATGAAAACTGAAAAAGAATCCAAGGCGATAATGAATTGCGCTGCAATGGTAGTGGGAGGTTACAGGCCTCTTCTAAGGCCCAAGTGCTTATCTTCTAATCCCAAAATCAACACAGAGCAGCTTCGTTACCAGCTTGACCAACTCCATGCCGAAGCTGAGACCACCCGCGCTAAAGGTACTCGTCTCTCTCTTTCGTTATAATCATTTTTCACCAAAATCAAAATTACCCATTTCAGTTTAAAGCATGATGATGACTTTTGATCAGTGATGTTTGGATAATTATTGGCGAATCGAGTAAATGTTGCTGGCTTTTAGTTTAATTTTATTGGTACTGATTGAATGCAAAGAAAATTGAAGCTAATGCGTCTTTTTTTTATTCAGCCAGCAATGCTAGATTGAGGTTTTTGCGGCTATCAGAGGCGGCCGACAAGCTTCGTCGACAAGCCGCGGTTAGTGTTCAGAGGGGGAAGGAAAATGAGGCAAGGGATCTTCTCTTTCAGAAGAAGAAGATTATGCAAGCTTTGGAGAAGTCTAAGAGTCGGATTGAGTTATTGGATAAGCTTTCCACGAAGCTTAATGAGGTAAATCAAGATTGTAATCTTTAACTTTATGTGTAATCTAAAGTAAAAACTACAATCACAATCAAATGATTGTCAATAATGTCAAATTGTGCATCCATGGAAGAAATCAATCAACCAAAACAAGCTAGCCAATGTAAAAGTTAAACTAAACATCAAATATGCTTGTGGATTTCAATTGATGGTTCCTAATCTATTGCTTCATTTCTGGTCCTACTTTCTCGCTACCTAGTTCTATGTGATTTAAATCGTTGCATGACTTGCATATATTATATATCTGTTTAAACTTAATGGTTGGTTTTTTTGTATGGATTCTTCTCTTTTTCAATGTCGAAATTTAATTTATAAAGCAGATAAGGAGATAAAGAAGATAAGCCATGATATCTTATGCTTCTTATGCTATTTTTTATGCAAATTTTAAGTGGAAATTAGAAAGCTATGCTCGAATGGACTAAGCAGATAAGGAGATAAAGAACATAAATTGTTGGCATTGGTGTATATAGTATGTATATTACTTACTCAAGTGGACTAAGCAGGCCAGACTGTAAACTGGAAATATCTTTTTATAGATTCCTTCTCATCTGATTTCTTGTTTATATGACTGTCTGAAATGTTAGCTGTTTTTTTAGTTCTTTCGGTTTACATAAATGAAATGCTATTTTTCATCACTTTGATTTTCATCAGTGACCTATATGTATGAAGCTTAAGATATATAATAAACTCTAAAGTTGAGTGTAATTTATCTACAAAACATACAATTTTTTTATTGTTCAATATGGATGATTTCCTTATTGTCAGTGTTTTTTTATTGAATGCGCAAATATTATGAAGTATAGTGTTTGATATTATACTTTCTTCACTAGTAATCTATCAAATAAAGTGAAAGAAAATAAAATAAAGAGAAAATCAATCAGGCAGGCTTTGTTTATGTCTATCTCCTTGCCTGGCCTGAAAGGGTCTGAGGTGCGAGGTGCGAGGTGCGAGGTGCAGGTGCACGCTTTGACGACACTGAAGATATTTGAGGCTATGGTTTTCTGATTTAAACTCACAAGAAATGCTGCCTGTCTATCCTTTTTCTTTTAACAATATTTCACTATAACTTTTGACTTTTCTTCTTTTGGATCTTATTGAAAGGATCAATTGCTTGAGCTTTATATTTAATATGTCATCATGGTTTCAGGTGATAAACGTGAAAGAAACTCAACTAATTGGGAATATTGCGGCAGATTCAGAAGTGGGTGAAGAAGATGATTCCACTCCAGTTCGGATAGTATCTCCCAAGGAGCAAGATGAAAAAGATAAAAGCAAGGACTCTGATATTGGTGCCTTAACATCTATTTTAGATCAAAATTTGCTGCTCCATACTGATGATCTGGCGGAGCAACCTGCTAATGAGGAGCTAGAGGAATATCAAGCATTCAATTTTAATGAAGGCAATAGAAATGGTATCTTGGCAGCAATATCGACTTATGAGGTCTTCTTGGAACATTTGGATCAACAGCTCAAGAAAATTGAACAAGAACTTACCACAATATTAAATGTTTCAACATTTTTACTGGATGATCAGAAGCGAAAAAATGTGAAGCTGCAGCAAACAACAAAACTTCTTGAAAGTATCCTCCACTTAAGACAGAGGTAAATTTCTTAATCAACTTACTAATTTGATGAAACTTAATTGTTTTAAGCTTTTCTCAACTCTGAAAAAATCAATAACACCGACCTAATGATTTTAATATAAATTATCATTGTTAAGTTTATGAAACTTAAGGCTTCCTTTTATCTTCTCAGAATTTCAAATATGAAGCAGAAGTAGAGATAAGTTAAGGCTTTATGTTCTCTTGGTAAGGTTTCTACTACCAGGTATGTCCATTGTTTTAGCAAAAACTATTTGGATCCATTAAGCAAAGAATCATACATTTGCAAGTTAGCATGTCCGTATGTGCTTTATGATATTAATTGCAGACCACAAAAGAAGCTACCGAGTTAGTAACCTTGTCGATGTCCATGTGGAATCCTCAAAATTTACGCTTTCCTTCTGTCTTTTTTGTGTTCAACGACAAATATTGTTAAATTTTACCAGTTCGGGTTATAATAATTCGGATTTCTCTTATCCCAAAGTTCCTTTATACATTCGCTTTTCCTTATTTTTATCGACTCATTTTTCTTTTCAGGGTCTGCTCTAATCTTCCCCCACCACTGCATCTAGCATCTCGTTTTACTGGTTCAGATCTATTTCTCACCCCCTAAACTTTTCTTTTAGTGATCTTATTGGTGCCGATGAGCCAATTCTTTCCTGTTCATTAGGCTGCTTTGCAAGAATTGTTTGTAATATATCTCTGATATATAAAATTGCCTATTGAACAATGTTGAGAAAAAAGGTATTTTTTAAAAATATTATTTTTTAAATATTAATTTAAATTAAAAAATATTAAAATATAGTTTATAATTAACCCAAAGAAACTGCCTTTCGCTTAATGGTATGGCCTTTAATATAAAATTAAGAGTAAACTACACAGGTGACTATTAAATTATTGTCTATTTTTATTTTGACCATCGATGTTTTGATTTGATTAATCAGACTACCCACCTATTTAAATGTTTTAATCAAGTCACTAGTTAATTTTTAATAGATGTGGTGATGTGTCAATTAATAAAATTGGCATAACTATACATTTGGTCCTCTATACTTATATATTCTATCAATTTAATCATTGTTACTTTTATATTCTATCAATTTGGTTCTAATTTTAATAAATAAAAATAAATTTAACTTTCAAATCATATTGTTATGTGTCACCATCCGATTAGAGGATTAAATTTATTTTAATTTAATATATTTATTTTTCACAAAGTAGAGGATGATATGTGTCACCTTTGATGGAAAGAAAATTAAGAGAACTTAAATGAGTATGAGACTCAAACATGAGTCTTTTAGGTGAGAGATGAGAAGCTCAACCACTGAGCCAAGCTGATTTTTTTTTGTTTTTTGTTAAATTGATCTACATGTGGAAAAATGTTCAAATTGTCATTATCATAGTCATAACTCCAATACTTGTCCTATAAATAAAAGAAAAAAAATTATAAAATAAGAAAAACATGGGTTCCTAAGTGAACTAGAGGTATTGAAACTAATAATCAAGAACCCAAAGTAATTTGGGTACCAAAAATCAAGTAAGTGTCTCTTGTAGGTGTGTTGGAGGAATGATGAGCAATGTCAAGCTATTTGGAAGCTCTAAAACACAATAAGGAAGAACACTTGAAGTAAGGAAGACCTAAGAAATCAACCTTATTCAAGTGGTAACAAGTTTTAATTTCATGCAATTTTGTGCTTTATATGATTTTATATATTTGTATGCATGATTGAGTGTCCCCACATAGTGCTTATGATGATAGGAGGAGTTATTATTTCATGAGTTGTAATTTGTAATACTTGATTGTTGTTGTGAAATCATAATCTTCATTCTTTATGTTGATTATATATGTTGATTTTGAGAATATGATGTTTAAATGTAGTAAAAATTAAAAATATGTATGTTTAGGATCTTTAGAGCTAGTGTGTGTTTGTGTGACTTTATTTGGACCTTATTTGTGCAAATTATAAATTGATCAATAATAAAAATTTGCAGAATTTTTTATTTTCAAGTTGACATTCATGCACATTTAGTATCATCTAAGTCATTAAAATTAATTGTATATCAATAATATGACTTAAGTTGCATCAAATTCGAGTCTAATATCATCCAATTTGGTTATTGGAATAAAAATTCATTTTAATAGAAAAATGATCGATCTCTTTGATAAAATGATCGATCCCTTGCATTTTCTAGAAAAAATTGAAAATGTAAAGCTTGCATTAATGTGAAACTATATTTTGATATAACAATTAAGGTAAAATGTTTTTGGATTTGAATTGAATTTATTCAAAGTTTTCAAAAGTAATTCAAAGTCCATTTAACTTGGAAATTGAGTACAAAATACTTTTCTGGATAAGAAGTACCGATATTTTTCTTACAGTATCGATACCTCATAAACAGTACCGATACTATTCATATGGTACAGATACCAAAGGTAAGGGAAGTATCGATACTCACTAGGTAGTATCGATACTACCCGCATTGCTAAAATTCCATAATGCAAAAATGGTACCGATACCCAAAGGGGTGTCGATACTAATTTGTATAGTAGTATCGATACCATAGACATAGTATCGATACCATCAGGCCCCAACGGCTAGTAACAACTAGTTGATTTAAAAATAACGAAGGTATTACCGATACTCCCTATAGGAGTACCGATACCTTATGTTCTGGGGAGTTTTGTTTAGCAGAGAAAACATCCCCAACGACTCTAAAACACTCTCAACGGTTATAAACGACCACAACTTCATTCCAACATATAAATACAAGTTCAAGACACTTGAAGAAGGGTTAGAACACCTATCTAAGCATTCAAACACAAGAGAAGAGTTTTTTCAATCTTATTTTTATCTCTCTTGTAAATATTAGTGTTTTAGTGAGCTAAATTTGTAAACACTTACCTTAGAGAGGTTTTCTTTGTTTACATTTATTTTCCTTGTAAATGGGTATTGGCTCTAGTTTAGCCAAGTGAAAAACTAGGGATTGTAAAGGTTATCTCTTGATCCTTGAAAAAGAAAGAACAAATTAGTGAATTTGTTAGAAAATCCTAAGTGATGAGCTTAGGTAGTGGAAGTAGATTTGGTTGATAAATTGAACCACTATAAATCCTTGTGTCAATTTTCTCTATCTTTTACTCTCCTTACTCCCTAAACAAATTCTTGCCAATTGACCCCCTTACAACTTTTTCGATTGTCAATTCGAGCTTCCGCGAATCCTAACAATTAGTATCAGAGCTTGACTAGTTAGAAGGTTTCACATCCTTGAGACGATCCTCGAAGAAGCTTTATTGATTTCTGATGCAACCGACAAAGAGATGGCTTCAACCTCCAGTGCTTATTTTATGGAAGATTCACAACCAGTCAACAATCCATCCTACTTCAATAGAGAAAATTATGCCTATTGGAAGAATAGGATGATGCTCTTCATTCAAGAAAATGATCTAAGAGCTTGGAACTCAATCATAAAGGGTTATTCCACTCCACCCGGTGAGATGGATGATTGGAGTGATGGAGAGAAGAAGAAATTCCAACTCAATGCTAAGATTATGCACATCCTCTTTTGTGCATTAGGCCCAGATGAATATGGAAAAGTCTACTCTTGTTCCAATGCTAAGGACATATGGGATATGCTTCAAATCACTCATGAAGGAATCGATGAAATGAGAGAAACCAAGATAAATCTTATCAACCATAACTACGAGAATTTCAAGATGAAACCCTATGAAGACATCAAAGCTATGACGGATAGATTTTCTGTGATTGTCAACGGTCTCAAGGAATTTGGAGAAGTAATCCCTAATGAGAAGCTTGTGAGGAAAATAAACTACTCTCTTCCAAAGTCTTGGCAATCGAAAAAGACGGCGATCATTAAGACTAAAAATTTAAAGTCTCTCATTCTCGATGAGTTGATTGGTTCTCTTCTCACTCGTGAGTTGATGGTGAAGGAAGAGGAAGAAGATGAAGAGAAGCTAAATAATAATAAGAATGAGGTAGACATTACCTTCAAATCCACCAATGAAATCAGTCAAGATTCAAATGAAGAGATGGATGAAGACGATGGTGAAGAAGAAGAGATGGTTAAGCTCTTCAAAAGATTCAAGAGGTTCATGACTTTTAAAGAAATGAAGCAAGAATCTAGCAAGAAGAAGAGTCCTCGGAGTGCTTCAATTATCAAAGAACGGGACATGTCAAGTATGAATGTCCCCTCCTAAATAAGAAGGGATCAAGAAAGAAAAAGACATTTGTGGCAACTTGGAGTGATAAAATGACTCCAATGATGAAGATGAAGTAGCCAACATATGCCTCATGTTCATAAGAGAAGATTCAATGGTAACTTCTAACTCAAATGAATTTGATTATTATTCTTTTGCTGAGTTACAAGTTGCTTACAATGAGTTTTATTTGGAATTTGAGACCATGAATTCCATATATAAGAAATTAATTTCAAAATATAAAGTTGAACATGATTTGATTTTGAAAGCCAAAGTTGATTTTGAAAATCAAAATGGAACTTTGAAAAATGATTTAGAAATTTCAAAAATCAAAATCAATGATTTAAAAAAAGAAAATTTTGATTTGAAAGGTAAGCTTGAAAGCATAACAAAAGAAAAAGAATTAATTTTTAAAAACAACTCATTATGTTTAAAAATGGCAAAATGCTCACATTGTCATTTTCATGGTCATTTGGAACATACTTGTCTGTTGAAAACATTTTGGTGTTTCGATATAACAAATGAAGTGTTAATGAATTTTAAGATTTTATATTCGATTTCAAATATAATATTCGATTTAATTATTCGAATATTATAAATATTACTCTAAGTTTTCAAATATCATTTTTACTCCTTAAATGAAAAATTGTGTTTCACTCTTAAAATATTTTTGGAACAACTTTTACGAAGTATTTCGAACCATAATCGAGTTAAAATTGAGATTTCAATATGGAAGTATCGATACTGCCTTTAGCAGTTGTCAACACACCTTTTCGTCCTACTAGGATTCAAACTCCAAAAAATAGGATAGAATTTTGCTAGGATTCAAATTCCTAAAAATAGGATAGAGTTCTACTATTATTTAAACTCCTAAAGATAGGATCCACAAGCATTATAAATAGTCATTGTAACTCACTATTGTAACAGATTCAGAGGAGGATATACGAAATACCAAGCAAAAAATTACAAGCAACTCGTAGCCATTTTTCGAAGCATTTATATTTTGAAAGGTAAAGTTCATACCTTCGCATGTTATTTTTCCTTACCCTTGATGTGTTTTGATTTCGAAAGAAAACTAAGAGAAGTGTTTTTGGCCGATGAACGGGGGCGTTTTCGAGATCTATTTTTGTAGATCTAGTCCCCGAGGCTTGTGTTTTTGAAAAACTATTCGAATTTTTATAAACGGGTCGTGTGAATTCGCGTGTTTTGTCGTTTTTTTCTTCGATTGGTTTTTAATTTTGACCCTTAATTCATTTTTTATTTTTAATTTAACCCTTATTATTTATATGTATATATGTATACATTTTATTATATTTTATTTATTTATTTATTATAATTTTTTTTTTCATTTTTCTTTGCGTTATATTATATTATTTTCCTATTATTATATATATATATTATATTATTATTATTTTA